TTGTACAAAAATACGAGGGAGTGGTTGACACATCGTCAGTGTGACTTTGTTTATGCTGGAGTGAACATTAGTCTCCCTGCTCTTCCAAACATTTCACAATAATTCATTGTGTTTGGTGCTTGTAGATTGAGTGTGACTGGAGTGGTAGAGGCAGTGATTGAGGCAATGGTATTTAATAACATACATGTTAATAATAATACATGTTATTAATAATATGTACTATTATTATTTATAACATATATGTTATTAAATACTTACATGTTAATAATAATACAAGTTATTAATAATAACATGAACTATTATTATTTATAACATATGTTATTAAATACCACTGCCTCAACCGCTGAATTATTGTGAAATGTTTGGAAGAGCAGGGAGACTAATGTTCACTCCAGCATAAACAAAGTCACACTGACGATGTGTCAACCACTCCCTCGTATTTTTGTACAATTTCCTTCTTCAATTATATTGTATTTATTATTATTATCATTATTATTATTATTTTTTTTTTTTCAACAAGTCGGCCGTCTCCCACCGAGGCAGGGTGACCCAAAAAAGAAAGAAAATCCCCAAAAAGAAAATACTTTCATCATCATTCAACACTTTCACCACACTCACACATTATCACTGCTTTTGCAGAGGTGCTCAGAATACAACAGCTTAGAAGCATATACGTATAAAGATACACAACATATCCCTCCAAACTGTCAATATCCCAAACCCCTCCTTTAAAGTGCAGGCATTGTACTTCCCATTTCCAGGACTCAAGTCCGACTATATGAAAATAACCGGTTTCCCTGAATCCCTTCACTAAATATTACCCTGCTCACACTCCAACAAATTGTCAGGTCCCAAGTATCATTCGCCTCCATTCACTCCTATCTAACACGCTCATGCACGCTTGCTGGAAATCCAAGCCCCTAGCCCACAAAACCTCCTTTACCCCTTCTTTCCAACCCTTTCGAGGACGACCCCTACCCCTCCTTCCTTCCCCTATAGATTTATATGCTTTCCATGTCATTCTACTTTGATCCATTCTCTCTAAATGACCAAACCACCTCAACAACCCCTCTTCTGCCCTCTGACTAATGCTTTTATTAACTCCACACCTTCTCCTAATTTCCACACTCCGAATTTTCTGCATAATATTTACACCACACATTGCCCTTAGACAGGACATCTCCACTGCCTCCAACCGTCTCCTCGCTGCTGCATTTACCACCCAAGCTTCACATCCATATAAGAGTGTTGGTACTACTATACTTTCATACATTCCCTTCTTTGCCTCCATAGATAACGGTTTTTGACTCCACATATACCTCAACGCACCACTCACCTTTTTTCCCTCATCAATTCTATGATTAACCTCATCCTTCATAAATCCATCCGCCGACACGTCAACTCCCAAGTATCTGAAAACATTCACTTCTTCCATACTCCTCCCCAATTTGATATCCAATTTTTCTTTATCTAAATCATTTGATACCCTCATCACCTTACTTTTTTCTATGTTCACTTTCAACTTTCTACCTTTACACACTTTCTCAAACTCATCCACTAACCTTTGCATTTTTTCTTTAAAATCTCCCATAAGCACAGTATCATCAGCAAAAAGTAACTGTGTCAATTCCCATTTTGAATTTGATTCCCCATAATTTAATCCCACCCCTCTCCCAAACACCCTAGCATTTACTTCCTTTACAACCCCATCTATAAATATATTAAACAACCATGGTGACATTACACATCCCTGTCTAAGACCTACTTTTACCGGGAAGTATTCTCCCTCTCTTCTACACACCCTAACCTGAGCCTCACTATCCTCATAAAAGCTCTTTACAGCATTTAGTAACTTACCACCTATTCCATATACTTGCAACATCTGCCACATTGCTCCTCTATCCACTCTATCATATGCCTTTTCTAAATCCATAAATGCAATAAAAACTTCCCTACCTTTATCTAAATACTGTTCACATATATGCTTCAATGTAAACACTTGATCTACACATCCCCTACCCACTCTGAAGCCTCCCTGCTCATCCGCAATCCTACATTCTGTCTTACCTCTAATTCTTTCAATTATAAACCCTACCGTATACTTTTCCTGGTATACTCAGTAAACTTATTCCTCTATAATTTTTACAATCTCTTTTGTCCCCTTTCCCTTTATATAAAGGGACTATACATGCTCTCCGCCAATCCCTAGGTACCTTCCCCTCTTTCATACATTTATTAAACAAAAGTACCAACCACTCCAACACAAATATCCCCCCCTGCTTTTAACATTTCTGTCATGATCCCATCAGTTCCAGCTGCTTTACCCCCTTTCATTCTACGTAATGCCTCACATACCCCCACCACACTTACATTCTGCTCTTCTTCACTCCTAAAAGATGGTATACCTCCCTGGCCAGTGCATGAAATTACCGCCTCCCTTTCTTCCTCAACATTTAAAAGTTCCTCAAAATATTCTCTCCATCTACCTAATATCTCCCTCTCCCCATCTACTAACTCCCCTACTCTGTTTTTAACTGACAATCCATACTTTCCCTAGGGTTTCTTAACTTGTTTAACTCACTCTCCCAAAATTTTTTCTTATTTTCATTAAAATTTCTTGACAGTGCCTCTCCCACTCTATCATCTGCTCTCCTTTTGCACTCTCTCACCACTCTCTTCTCCTTTCTTTTACTCTCCATATACTCTGCTCTTCTTATAACACTTCTGCTTTGTAAAAACTTCTCGTAAGCTACCTTTTTCTCTTTTATCACACCCTTACTTCATCATTCCACCAATCACTCCTCTTTCCCTCCTGCCCCCACCCTCCTATAACCACAAACTTCTGCCCCACATTCTAATACTGCATTTTTAAAACTATTCCAACCCTCTTCAACCCCCCCACTACTCATCTTTGCACTAGCCCACCTTTCTGCCAATAGTCGCTTATATCTCACCCGAACTTCCTCCTCCCTTAGTTTATACACTTTCACCACCCTCTTACTTGTTGTTGCCACCTTCCTCTTTTCCCATCTACCTCTTACTCTAACTGTAGCTACAACTAAATAATGATCCGATATATCAGTTGCCCCTCTATAAACATGTACATCCTGGAGCCTACCCATCAACCTTTTATCCACCAATACATAATCTAACAAACTACTTTCATTACGTGCTACATCATACCTTGTATATTTATTTATCTTCTTTTTCATAAAATATGTATTACTTATTACCAAATTTCTTTCTACACATAGCTCAATTAAAGGCTCCCCATTTACATTCACCCCTGCATCCCAAATTTACCTACTACTCCCTCTATAACATTTTTACCCACTTTAGCATTGAAATCCCCAACCACCATTACTCTCACACTTGATTCAAAACTCCCCACGCATTCACTCAACATTTCCCAGAATCTCTCTCTCTCCTCTACACTTCTCTCTTCTCCAGGTGCATACACGCTTACTATAACCCACTTTTCACATCCAATCTTTATTTTACTCCACATAATCCTTGAATTTATACATTTGTAGTCCCTCTTTTCCTGCCATAGCTTATCCTTCAACATTATTGCTACTCCTTCTTTAGCTCTAACTCTATTTGAAACCCCTGACCTAATCCCATTTATTCCTCTCCATTTAAAACTCTCCCCACCCCCTTCAGCTTTGTTTCACTTAAAGCCAGGACATCCAGTTTCTTCTCATTCATAACATCCACAATCATCTCTTTCTTATCATTTGCACAACATCCACGCACATTCAGACTTCCCACTTTGACAATTTTCTTCTTATTATTCTTTTTAGTAATCTTTACAGGAAAAGGGGTTACTAGCCCATTGTTCCCGGCATTTTAGTTGACTTTTACAACACGCATGGCTTACGGAGGAAAGATTCTTATTCCACTTCCCCATGGATATAAAAGGAAAAGTAATACGACCAAGAACTATTAAGATAAAATCAAAGAAAACTCAGATGAGTGTGTATAAATAAACGTGTACATGTATCTGTAGTGTGACCTAAGTGTAAGTAGAAGTAGCAAGACATGCCTGTAATCTTGCATATTTATGAGACAGACAAAAGACACCAGCAATCCTACCATCATGTAAAACAATTACAGGCTTTCGTTTTATACTCACTTGGCAGGACGGTAGTACCTCCCTGGGTGGTTGCTGTCTACCAACCTACTATTATTATTATTATTATTATTATTACTATTGTTATTATTAGCAATAGCAGAAATGTTTGATTCTTTGCTGTGTTCAAGAGTAAACACATGATGTCACCGTCTAATACCTTTCCTAATAGCCATTCCAATATGCAGTAATGAATGGGTTTACATTATTTATTCTGTAGTTTAATAGCAAATAATGAACAAACAGAACACTCACCACACTGAGTGGTGGGAGGGCTGGCTGCCAGTTGTGGGGGTCGAAGGGAGGGTAGTAGGGACTCGCAGTGGTGGAGGCATTGGTGGAGTCTGTGGTATTTAATAACATACATGTTATTAACATACAGGTTATTAAATAACATACGTTATTAAAGCATAACATGTATATATTTAGTACAATTTACGACGTTTTCATGTATTTTATGATTATTAATGGTTCAACAAGTTAAGGAAGCAGTATTGTAATATATTTCCTTACAATATATTGGGGCACCAAACATTCACGGTTTTTCAACATTCGCGAGGCTCTTGATCCCCTAACCCTCGCGAATGTTGAGGGAGACTTGTATATGAAAGCCGGAGAGTCAGAAACAGTTCTTGTAATTCAAAATGAGCATGGAGACAGAAATGAAGCAACAGAGTAATAGGGCTGTATATTTTGGCCTCTTACCAAGAGAGTCTGAACTAAAGGCCAGAATATATAGACCTTCTAGTATGTTGTTTCATTTCTGTTGTCTCCATGTGGGTTTTAGATTACATTTCTTTATGTAATTAATAAATTTTTAAGAAATCTTAATTATGTATACTATATGTATGCTTGGTTGTACTTCCAGATACAGAACACCAAAACCTTCTGCTTACCCTACCATAGCAACAACTCCAGCATCCAGCAACATATTTTCCCCACCACTCTCTACCTCTGTAAGGGCAGGGTCCCGTGTCAGAATATCCTCCAGTCATGAAACTAGTCGTAACGAAGTAACACAAGATAGTGCACCCATAGTCTCTATTCCTTTCAAAGCAGAGGTTGCAACCAGCAAGTACCCTCGACATAATTATGGGGCAGCGGATATACGTTATGCTGGTGGAGCTGTTGTGATCACAGAGATTGGCACCATTGAAGATACTCCTCTTGATGAGGTTCAAAGGATCTTAAGTGGGTTTGGTAGTCGACGACGCGGGTTGGGCCGTCCACAAGAAAAGCGAACAGTCCAAAAACCTCCACCTCCTGAGCCAGTTTCTGAAGCAAAGGCTCCTCCAGAGTCAACCTCATATGATTATACTGATTATTATTATGATGATCTTTACTAAAATAATTTTTAATATTAATTTTTAGTGATAATACACTAATTCCAGTGAAATCTAAATTTTATTAATATAAATTGGAGAACATGTTTTATATTGGAATCATAATGCTGAAATGAAATACAGTAACTTACTAAAAGTAAATGCTAATTTATTCATATTAGTCAGTCATAGGTAAGCCCATCAAATTGTATAAGGATGATTTCTAACGTCCAAGTATTAGCTGTACCAATTGAGGCTGACATTATGAATTATAATTAGGATGTATCAGAAAATACTTTTAACAATAATGCAATTCATTGTACAACCATACACTATTATGTACATACATAATAAGTATTGTATGTTTGTACAGTACACACTCATCCAGTGTTGTGGTATGCACTGCCACAAGTTGAGAGCATGTGGCATTTTTGTATTTTTCTCATTTGTTTTTAACCAAATTTATGTATTATTTGCATCCATGCCATTCAGGCATGTATAATGTCTTCATATTTATTTGCTATAAGTCAGTTAAGTGCATCAATAGTTTCTCCAGAACTGCATCTCTGATTATATAATGAAAATCTATGGGATTATGTGTTCTGATATACAACATTTCAATATACATCAGCTTACTGTGGAATGAGTCTGTCATTAAGTGAGGCTTACATGTGCATTACTGTGCTTAGAATTTAGAACTGCAGCTTGGCACTAAACACTGCTGGCAGGGCAGGTACATACTGTAATACTGTACATAAAGCAATGTCAGTGATGTACAGAATGATAAGCAGTCAATTATCACAGAACACTGTAAGATATACTTAACGATAATCATCAACTTTTTGCTAATCTTTTTCTTCATTGTTTAAAAAGTTGTGATATACTGTATGTATAGTCATACTAAAATGAAGCAAACCACAATATACATTTACAAATTGTAAATGAAAACAAGAAAACATTTTGGGATATGCTGTTCATTATATGCTGGTGGATGATGTGTATATTTTCACTCACTTGATGACAATGATAGCAGGGTTAAACACATACATGGAGAGTATAAACATGGAGTGTATTATATTGTAAATTTTCCCAGGAATAATGTAAGCTTAATAGGCTATTACTCTGTATGTAAATTTAAACTCAAAGCCTTTTAATCACTTCCAACAATATTCAAGTGCTGTTGCACCAAGGAAAATAATTGATTTAAATTTACATATGCTGGAAGTTTAAGAAATTATACACTGCAGGCATTTAATGTTTATAATATGGCTTATAGTCCATGACTGCTTCTGTTGTAGCTTATGCTGCTTACCCGTTTAAAACATTCAGCACAAGCCACTGAGAATATGTCTGGTTTCCACTAGTCCTGGTGTAAGTAAATGGGCATTGATAGTACTAAATGTTATATAGTAGAATCATAAGTTGTTTGAGTAAGGGCACATATGAAAATATGAACCCCCTTATATTATTAAGTAAACACGTCATAGGTTAGCATATTTATAATGGTTTTCACTGCATACATATTAAAATGTTTCAGAAGTTTCTTAGGGATGTATCTCACCATTATAGCAGGGAGGATTTTAGTATTCTAGACCCTTGATAGTGATAGGTCAGGTGTTTCCTTGTTTTACTGTTGATGTGACCACTCTAAGCAATGTCCACAGGGATCTGTAAGTGCCTCAAGCATCTAAAACTAGGCTGTTTCTTTATACTCTTAGTATAAATGTATAATTTGCAGGTCTAAATAAAAGTAGTTCCTTTAATGTTTAAGTATAAAGTCTATTCACAATTTTCAAACAAAACTATGTACTGCTTAACAGCACTTTTATTTCCAATCAAATTAAACTACTGTACTGTACAAGTTTAGCTCATGTTTCACTGTTTGCTAAGGTGGCTTTCTCCTAGTTTGTGTGTGCCAGAAAACTAGATTTATTTTTCCATGAAAGAATGGTACCCATTTAAGTGGAAAAGAAAATGCTCAATTTGGTTCAATAAACCAATCTTTGGTATGGTGCTATATTAAGTGGCATAATTAATGTTAGCGAATATTAAAGGAAAAAACAAGATATACCAGCAATGAAGTGTGGTATGTGTATTAAAGGGTACAGAATGTAATGTTTTCTCAGAATATCAAATGGCAAACAGGAGGATAATGGTATTTTTGACAAAAGTAGATGTTTGGCAGAGCATATGATGACAGTAGGGAACTGCTGACTTGGATTATGAATACAAGGCACCAAGATAAACATGGGACGTAGAAATGGTCACAATTCTTAAGAGTTTCAGAAGATATAGTAATCCATAGTAAAGAAAAAAAATCCTACAGAGATAAAGATTACTGTATATACCCACCGTAGTATATACAGTACCACACATAATAGTAATGTATTACTGTACCACCCATAACAGTAATGTATTACTGTATTTAGATACTGTACTTATTGGTCTAATTTCAATGTGCAATATTTCAGTACTAACTCAATTACTATTGTGTGTGTGTGTGTATTATGATAGCCTTACTTTCCTAACACTTTCACTGTCACAACCCCAGAAATAAAAATGCTGACTGTGTCAGTGTCATAGTAGAGAATCTATTTCTGAAGGTAATGACATAAAAAATGTGAAATTTGATGAAAACTTTGGGAATTATGCAGGCTCAAATTTGACAGTCTGGGTGCAATTTATTGGAGATTTTGGCCACTGAGACCTATCTTAAACCTATTCCAGTGTTCAATTCAACCCAGCCTAGCTATGTCTCCAGTCTTTCCTTCCATCAAATGGGTGCAAGAAATTGCCCATTCATCCATCAGAACTACCCTATAAAGTGCATAGAATTTGGTAAATTGAGCCAGTTTTAGATAAAATTCAACAAATTTCAATATAAAAAGAGTACAAAATAAGCATAGGTATTCCAGTCACTAGAGTTACCTTTCCTCTGTTCATTAATCATGTCTCCAAGCCTTTCTTATTGAATTCATCAGAAAAAATTGAAGTTTTACCCTATTTCATGGATAAGAAAATATAACCAAGAATAATTTGTCATGGTTTAGGTTTTTCCAGTAAGGGAAGCTGACCTAGTAAAAATCCATACAACAGACAGGAGGAAGAGGGCAAGGGGGCCCCTAGGGCCTTACCCTTACATGGAGTATACCTGGAGAGGGTTTCAGTTATCAACGCCATCCCTACAGCCCAGTCTGAGACCAGGCCTCATGGTGGCTCAGGATCTGATCAACCGGGCTGTTCAGGAAAATTGACAAAAATCAAATATTTCCACTACTTTGAGGCTTATTTCAAGCTGCTTTTTTTTTTTTTAAACCAACAAAATCATTTCTCACTATGACCCTTGCAGGTTTAAAGCTTATTTTTTTATTAAAATAATAATAATACTAATAATCTATTTCAATATTATGTCTTCCATTATATCAACTGATGCCAAGGAACAGCCAATAAAACCATAGAAATTGCTCTAGAAAACACCTCAGAGTAGCTCTTTTAACTCTTCCAGGGTTGGTCCCGTTGTATCATGGCTTTGAAGCCAGTGATGATCCCATAGTATAACACCATAAGCTCAGCTCACTCAGATCAGCTGTGACTGGTAAATATGGGCCTAGATATGAGAGAATGGATTGACGTGGTAAGTGTGCACCACATAAAAACAGTCCTGCACCACGCAGTGCATAATGAAAAAAACTGTGTGCTTTTGGTTTAAAATAGCGGCTTTGCAATGTATTTTCATATAGTTTTTATGGTTTTATTCTTGGTTTCTTAGTCTCATTTGATAGAATAGAAGATATATTACAGAAATAGAGATGATTTTGATTGGTTTCAGGATCAAAAGTAACTTGAAATTGAGATCAAAGTAGTGGAAATGTTCGATTTTTGCAAATAACATCACTTGTCCAATGTGTCCAACTGGCACATTTAACCCGTAAACGGTTCAAACGTATATGTTTTTTCAACATTTGAAAGCATGTAAAAAAAGTAGATCTTCTTTTTGTTTTTTTATATTTGAAAATGTGTAAAAAAAACTTTGATCTACTTTTTTTTTCGTTATACGTGTATTTGAAAATATGTAAAAAAAAGTAGATATACTTTTGCAGCGCTACACATGTGAACGTAGATCTGCTTGGACCATTTATGGGTTAATGTCCATATAGGAATGCATTGACATTATTTATACAATTATTACAATAATGCAGTAGTCTGCATTACAGTAAATCTTTTATTTCTTGTGTAAATAACAATTCAAAATGGAAAGAGTAATATAAGAGGAGACTGGGGCCTGGAGATGTGACTAATGAAGAGAGAAAATGCTATTTTAGTGCCAGGAATGTCTGCATTATTTATTCTGGACACTATTTTGAAATTGGCATTACTTGAATTTTGTGCTAAATTGGCCAAATTACCAATTTCTGATCACTTTATTGGGTAGTTTAAATAGCTAAATGGGCAGTTTCTTGTACTTGATAGCTAAGAATTTGGCCAACTTGAACAATGGAATTGACCTAAAATCGGACTAAGAGTAGTTGAAATCAGCGATGTGCAATATTTCCGATGCAGCAAAATTCGGGAGAGATTAATTTTGTCAGTTTTCTATCAAATTTTGTACTTTTTGTATTATTACCTTCAGAAAAAGATTCTCTACCATTTCATAAGATTTTTTTTTTTTTTTTTTTAAATTTGTGACTCCTCAGAGCAAGTTTGAGAGCAGGGGTTGCAATCCTGAAAGGGTTAAACCAAACACAGTGTCACAGGTTTGCCTTTTCCATCATGCACTGTGTGGGGCAGGATATTTTTTTTATATTGTACGCTTCCACTGAGCAGACCCATTTTCTTATGTCTGAGCCAGAATTTACTGCTTACAGCATAGTTAAGAGTGCTGTGCTTAAAACATAGATCTACATGGGAGATAGTGAAAGGATTTAAGGGCATGTGCGGTCACAGACCCAACCCCAAGAAAACAGTTAGATTTTTTTGAAAATAAAACTGAAATAAAACCCAGTTACATACAACACATAATACGAACTTTATTTTGCCTAAAAAAAAAACAGAAAACAATAATTCTATCAAGAACCTACTGAAGCCTCCAATATGAAGTAATTTAAATACTTCATATAAGAGTTCTAAATATAATTTTAAAATACAGTACAGTGCTGTGTACGTATATTGTATTGTAAATTTTATTAATATCATATTTCAGTTATTGGACTTGCTCTTATATAGTCTTTTTTTTATGAAGGTGAATTCATAGAAGAAAACATACTGTACATTAAAATAATATTTTGTTGACTAGGAATGTCACTACGATTGAATTCTGTACGTATTATAATAGACAATGCATATTTTATAAGCATACACTTATAAATAATAATGTATCTGCCATTCAAAGGTGAAATACTGCATGCTGTACAGAAATAAACTAGTTTATGGCATGCTGCAGGGTGTAAGAGTTAGAAGTGCCCTTGCTGTTGTTTACTTTGATACTGTTAAGATCAAACCTTCACTTTTTAAATAGAATACACATCCATCATCTCAAGCTATTGCATAGGCAGAATAGTTTATTTTTAAACTCCTTCAGTGACTGTAACAGAACATCACTGAAGCCAGGGTCCCTCATGTACTTCTACGTCATGAGCTCAGCTCACTCAGATAAGGTGCAAGCAGTAAATTTTGGCCTAGATAAGAGAGAATGGGTCTGTGCAGTGAGTGTGAACAGTATAAAAAAAAATCCTGCCCCATGCAGTGCATGATGGGAATAGGAAAACTCTGATTATATGTATAGTTTAATATAGGGACTTTGAGGAGTTTCCCTGGATGGTTTTTATGATTTTTATAGGCTGTTTCTTGTTATCATCTGAAAGAATGAAAAACACTACTGAAATCAAGATGATTTTGGCTGGTTTCAGGACTAAAAGTAGCTTCAGACTGAGCTCAAATTAGCAGAAATATTAGATTCTTGCCAATTTTCTTGAAGACGGATAAGGCCCCCTTTACACCAGTCTGTTTTATGGGTTTTTTAATAGGCCTGATTTAATTATTAAGACGCCATAAACCATGACCAATCATTTCTGGTTATATTTTATTATCAGAGAAATATAGTAAATCTTCCATTTTTATGTGATTAGGAATTCAAAATGAAAGGCAAGTGTAATATAGGAGAGATCTGGGGATGTGATCGTGAAAAGAGGAGAAGTTTATTTTAGTGCCAAGAATGTCTATATCTTTTATTTTGGACTGTTTTTAAATTGGCATTTTCTGAATTGTGTGTAAAACTGGCCAAATTACCAGCTTATGTGCACATTATAGAGTAGTTGACATAGCTGAATGGGTGCTTTCTTGTGCTCAAATGATAAAAGATTTTATGCCATTTCAGAAGAAATTTTTTTTTCTTTAAAGTGAACACTAATAGTAATATTAATTTTGAGGGCCTAGAGAGTGAAAGGGTTAAGAAGAAATTAAAGTATTGCTTTACTGCCTAGGTAGACTAGCGAAATGTTTCTTGGTATTGTTTACTGAGGTGTTGCTTGTGGTAGCATAGCCAGGATTACATTCTGGGGAAAGCTAAAGCCAGGATTACATTCTGGGGAAAGCTAAAGCCAGAATTACATTCTGGGGAAAGCTAAAGCCAGGATTACATTCTGGGGAAAGCTAAAGCCAGGATTACATTCTGGGGAAGGCTAAAGCCAGGATTTCATTCTGGGAAAGGCTAAAGTCAGGATTTCATTCTGGGTAAGGCTAAAGCCAGGATTTCATTCTGGGGAAGGCTAAAGCCAGGATTTCATTCTGGGGAAGGTTAAAGCCAGGATTTCATTCTGGGGATGGCTAAAGCCAAGATTTCATTCTGGACAAGGTTAGTCAGGATTTCATTCTGGGGAAGGGTAAAGCCAGGATTTCATTCTGGGGAAGGCTAAAGCCAGGATTTTATACTGGACAAAGCTAAAGTCAGCATTTCATTTGGGGAAGGCTAAAGCCAGGATTTCATTCTGGACAAGCTAAAGTCAGGATTTCATTTTGGGGAAGGCTAAAGCCAGGATTTTATTCTGGACAAGGCTAAAGTCAGGATTTCATTCTGGGGAAGGGTAAAGCCAGGATTTCATTCTGGACAAGGTTAAAGTCAGGATTTCATTCTGGGGAAGGGTAAAGCCAGGATTTCATTCTGGACAAGGCTTCAATCAGGATTTCATTCTGGACAAGGCTAAAGCCAGGATTTCATTCTGGACAAGGCTAAAGTCAGGATTTCATTCTGGACAAGGCTAAAGTCAGGATTTCATTCTGGACAAGGCTAAAGTCAGGATTTCATCTGGGGAAGGGAAAAGTCAGGATTTCATTCTGGACAAGACTAATGCCCAGATTTCATTCTGGGGAAGGCTAAAGCCAGGATTTCATTCTGGGGAAGGCTAAAGCCAGGACTTCATTCTGGGGAAGGCTAAAGCCAGGATTTCATTCTGGGGAAGGCTAAAGCCAGGATTTCATTCTGGGGAAGGCTAAAGCCAGGATTTCATTCTGGACAAGGCTAAAGCCAGGATTTCATTTTGGGGAAGGCTAAAGCCAGGATTTCATTCTGGGGAAGGCTAAAGCCAGGATTTCATTCTGGACAAGGCTAAAGTCAGGATTTCATCCTGGGGAAGGCTAAAGCCGGGATTTCATTCTGGGGAAGGTTAAAGTCAGGATTTCATTCTGGACAAAGCTAAAGCCAGGATTTCATTCTGGGGAAGGCTAAAGCCAGGATTTCATTCTGGGAAGGCTAAAGTCAGGATTTCATTCTGGACAAGGCTAAAGTCAGGATTTCATCCTGGGGAAGGCTAAAGCCAGGATTTCATTCTGGGGAAGGCTAAAGTCAGGATTTCATCCTGGGGAAGGCTAAAGCTAGGATTTCATTCTGGACAAAGCTAAAGTCAGGATTTCATTCTGGACAAGGCTAAAGTCAGGATTTCATTCTGGGGAAGGCTAAAGTCAGGATTTCATTCTGGACAAGGCTAAAGTCAGGATTTCATTCTGGACAAGGCTAAAGTCAGGATTTCATTCTGGACAAGGCTAAAGTCAGGATTTCATTCTGGACAAGGCTAAAGTCAGGATTTCATTCTGGGGAAGGCTAAAGCCAGGATTTCATTCTGGGGAAGGCTAAAGCCAGGATTTCATTCTGGGGAAAGCTAAAGCCAGGATTTCATTCTGGGAAGGCTAAAGTCAGGATTTCATTCTAAACAAGGCTAAAGTCAGGATTTCATTCTGAACAAGGCTAAAAGTAGGATTTCATTCTGAGGAAGGCTAAAGCCAGGATTTCATTCTGGGGAAGGCTAAAGAAAGGATTTCATGTTGGACAAGGCTAAAGCCAGGATTTCATTGTTGGGAAGGCTAAAGCCAGGATTTCATTCTGGGGAAGGCTAAAGCCAGGATTTCATTTTGGACAAGGCTAAAGCCAGGATTTCATTCTGGGGAAGGCTAAAGGCAGGATTTCATTCTGGGGAAGGGTAAAACCAGGATTTCGTTCTGGGGAAGGGTAAAGCCAGGATTTCATTCTGGGGAAGGTTAAAACCAGGATTTCATTCTGGGGAGGGGTAAAGCCAGGATTTCATTCTGGGGATGGCTCAAGCCAGGATTTCATTCTGGACGAAGCTAAAACCAGGATTTCTTTCTGGGGAATACTAAAACCAGGATTTCATTGTGGGGAAGGCTAAAGCCAGGATTTCATTCTGGGGATGGCTCAAGCCAGGATTTCATTCTGGACAAGGCTAAAACCAGGATTTCATTCTGGACAAGGCTAAAACCAGGATTTCTTTCTGGGGAAGGCTAAAACCAGGATTTCATTGTGGGGAAGGCTAAAACCAGGATTTCGTTCTGGGGAAGGTTAAAACCAGGATTTCATTCTGGGGAAGGCTAAAGCCAGGATTTCATTCTGGGAATGGCTAAAGCCAGGATTTCATTCTGGACGAAGCTAAAATCAGGATTTCATTCTGGACAAGGCTAAAACCAGGATTTTATTCTGGGGAAGGGTAAAACCAGTATTTCATTCTGGGGAAGGCTAAAGCCATGATTTCATTCTGGACAAGGCTAAAACCAGGATTTCATTCTGGGGAAGGCTAAAGCCAGGATTTCATTCTGGACAAGGCTAAAGCCAGGATTTCATTCTGGGGAAGGCTAAAGCCAGGATTTCATTCTGGGGAAGGCTAACCCTTTCAGGGTCCAAGGCCCAAATCTGGAGTCACGCACCAGTGTCCAAGAATTTTCAAAAAAAAAATTTATTTTTTCTTATGAAATCGTAGAGAATCTTTTTGTGAAGGTAATAAAACAAAAAGTACGAAATTTGGTGGAAAATTGACGAAATTATGCTCTTGCGAATATTGATGTGTCAGCGATATTTACGAATCGGTGATTTTGCCGACTTTGACTCCCATTTTAGGCCAATTACATTATTCCAATCAACCAAATTCTTAGCTATTTCACTAGTATTACTTCTATTCTATCGATTGAG